TCGGCTCCTCCCAGTTGGAGCATCGACCCCGAAACCAGCGGGCAGGAAAGCGGGAAGCTCCGCTGCCAGCTCGTTCCACCAGTTCACCTCGGTGAACGATCGGAAACGTCAACAGCCAGCCCGTTACAAAGAGATTCTTTAAGGAAATCCTTCTCCCTTCTTCGGGAGCGAGCTAAGAAAAACACAGGCGTAAAAGTACACTCATCGGCGAGGAAAAGTTCAAGGGCGGCTGCCGCCGGCGTGAATGCGGCGTCTGACGGGGCTGGCGGGGCGGCTGCCCCACAACAGGGCCACTTTTATGCTCTCCTGCTTTGGGGAACGCCCTGGGGCGAGGACGGCGCTGGGCAAACACGGCCCGGTCACCTCCGCCAGGAGCCGGAGGACGAGGTCTCCGTCCCAGCCAGGGGAGCCCAGGGGGGTCTGTGTCCCCACCCCGACACCAGGCTGGGCACCCCAGCGGCGGTCCCTCCCCGGGTGGGAAGGGGAGCGGGGTTGCCTTACCCGGTATTTGTTCTCGCCGATCTGCTCCACTTGGAATCTCTTGGCACACTTGCACTGGGCCACTTGCCTGGTGACCTGCCATCATCAATGAGAGAGGTAAGGGACCAGGATTTTGGGAGTCTCCCCCATTACACGCAGCCCTAAGCAGCCCTTCCTTCAAAAACACGGCAGGCCCTGGTGGTACCAGTCAATTATTTTGGCTCACCACCACCGCAATCCTTTTTCTTCCCCCTCCTCCTCATCTTCCTCACCATCAACCCACGGCGTGGGCCACCCCAACAGCCCCAAACACCCGTGTCCTTCAGTGCTTCACCTCATCTTCGATCTTGTCAGCATCAGTGGTGGGGCGGTAGGCGTCCTTGTTGGGATGGAGAGCAGCCACAAACTCATAGTAATCGATGTAGCCGTCACCGTCACGGTCAAAGATGTCGGCCACCGCCGTCATCTCCAGCTTCGTGGTGGGGAATTCTGGAAGGGGAGAGGAATGAGCAACCGATGAGAGGACCTCACTCATGGATTGGGTTGAAGACTGTGCTCGGACATCCCCAGCTCTCTTGAGCAGGGACAACCTCTCGTCACCCCGAGGTGGCTGTTTTCCAAGCTCGTTTCGGGCAGGCAGGGACTTACTAGAGGCCAGGATGCCATCGATAAACTCCTGCCGAGTGATCTTCCCATCTTGGTCTTTGTCGATGCGCCGGAAGAAGTCCATGACGCGGGATTTCTTGTGGTTCATCCAGCGCATGTACTTCTTCCGCCAGACGTCGAAGTCGAAGTTGGCAAACTCCTTCAACTGGAAGGAAACCCAGGAGAGTCAGCACGGGAAAATCCCCGACGGAGCAGCACCCCTGGCTCTACAGCACCCTAACCCACCAGCCTCCGGGGAGCCCGAGCTCCCGGCGCTGAGGCTCACCGCCCCCCCTCCCAGGAAGGTTTATGTGGGTTTATCTGGACGACCCCTGTTAACGAGAGAACCACTCAAATCCACTTCCCAGAACAGAAGGACACACAGCATCGCCGACAGCCACCACGTGGACCGCGCACCACGGAACCATCGCCACGGGATGCAGCACCCACCGCCGTGGCACACGTACACACACGCAGATACCAGCTACCAGCACACGCACCCCCCCCCCTACGTCTCTGCTCGGGCGATTGGGGACGGTTCCTCACCCAGGATTTCACCTAACGGCTCACCAGGCTCTGCCCGGGAGGATACCCACTGCTGGCACTGTTTTGGGCGCACATCTTCCCTCTCCCTTTCCGTCTAAGCAGCCGGGAAGGGATTTCTGGCTCATGTTCCAGGTAAGACGGCGGCTGGGGCACACCTCAGCTCTGCCAACTCTGGCACCTCGGCTCTGATGAGCCGCTCACCCTCCAATTTAAACTAATCCCTTTTTATCCCCCTCCTCGAAAAGGACCCCCGCGACCCCGCCAGCTAAAGCGGCTCTCAGCCAGGTAACGCCACAATTTTTAGTGCTTTTTTTTTTGGTGTGTGTCTTTCTTTCTCTAAACATTCTTGGAGGTGAAAGCAACAAAGAAAAAAAAAACATTAATACGTATAAACTGAACTGACCTACAGCAAAAGCAACGAAAAACAAAAACACTCACTTCTGGGCATAGCTGCTTTGTTAAGCATAAATAAAAACAAAAATTCCATTAGATGTTTGGAAAAGATATAGACAGTAATTGTTAAACTAATTACTAGGAGCAAAGCAGGCCTGGCTGTCATTACCTCTACAGATACCGGCTGCAGGGGCACAAAGCAGTTCATTAATGTGCAGTTAATTACAGAAGGCACTTTTCAGCCTTAATATTTTAGGAATTATTTTTTTCTTTTTTTTTTGGCATTTGCAGAAAGGCAGCAGGAACCGTCTGCAGGGGCTGTGCGATTCCAGAGGCAGCACTAATTTAAGATGCTTGTCGCACCTCTCCGGTGAGCGACCCCCGGCACCGCTCCCCCCCGCCAGCCCAGAGCACTCGGGGGCCGTTACCTCCTCCAGCCTGTCCAGGGCATCGTTGAGCTTTCGCTGTCGCTCCAGCGCCAGCAGCCAGACCTGCTGCCAGCGGGCCGAGAGCTGGTTTATCCGGGGGTTCTTTGTTTCCGACTGGGAGATAATGGGCATGCTGGGGGGAGCAGCCTGGCTCAAGGATTTTCCTGGAAAAAAGGAGAAAAGGACTCGGTTGAGGTGGTGTCCA